GGGTGACCCAGAGGGAGGTGATGTGGAGCAAGAGGACTCTGGGCTAGATCTATGCATGGTGGGTATGTGCCTGGGGCTGGCCTGCCACTTTCAGAAGAACTAAGTGAGATGAGGTCTCCCCGTTCAATTCCCAGGAAAGACATGGCCGAGACCCCAGGACTCTAGGTCCTAACCTGAGAACACAGACCTGGCTGCATCCACTATGGAGACAGTTCTTGAGTGAGCAGAAGGCCAGGGGAACTGGTAAAGGTTGAAAGTCATGAACCAAAGATGGGAGGAGCAGAAAGGACTCAGAATGGGGGAGGAGAGCCATGGGAAGATATACCTTACTGCTCCAACCTTGTTCCTAGTTCAAGCCCTGACTCCCCGCAGCTTGGTGCTGTGGGCAGGTAGGTGGTTTTGCCTATCTGAGTCCTGGAGTGGAGAGCTGTGTGCGTGCAGCCTGCACGCAGTGAAACACTCAGACTAGGGTTTATGCAGACAAATCCAGGAGTCCCCCTGTCCCTCCCAGTTCCTTCTGAGTCTAGCCAGGGAGGAGGGACTACCCCAGAGCCTGCTGGGAGTGGACTTCTGGCCTGTGATCCTTCTCTATTGTGTGGCCATAGCTCCCTGCTCCCAAGGATGCAAGGACACCCTTGGGGTGGGTGTGGCATGGTGTTATCTTGTTGCTCAGTTGTCCTGCACACATGGCTTTGTTTCAGCCTCCTGCCCCGGCCTCTCTCCCCTCCCCCACCCGCACCTGTCAATCTTGGGCCTCCCCTCTCTTCCAGAGCAGGGACGTTCTGAGCTGCCCGCGGTCTGCGAATGGCAATCTGAGGAACCCCGCTGAGCCATGCTCCCTTTCAATCCACTCTCCGCTCCGTAGCCGCAGCATTGTAGTCTGGCTGAGACACGAACTGAATGAAGCAGCCGCTCAATTCGAGCCTGCTACAAGGGGAGTATTTTGATGTTTTCATTTCTTTCTAGTTCAATAATTCGAGAAAACACATGGATTCGGTGCTAGTTCCAACAGGCTCTCTAACTACTTAAAAAAAAAAAAAAACTTTGTGTTGGTTAAAAAGTATATAGGAGAAGGGAATCGATCTACAGAGGGAGCCTGGGGTGGGGTGGGGGTGGGGGCTGCAGCTTTTCTTGGGTGCTCTGTGACCCCTCCCGCTCTGACCTGAATTCTGCATTCCGTCTAGGGAGGTATCATCCTTGAGTCTTGCCTAGGCCAGGGAACAAAGAAAAGAGGCAAACGCGGGATCCTGTCCAAGCCCTGTGGTTGCTCTCCATGGTCCTGAAAGGCCCAAATGAGACTCACTACCTGCCCTCCCCCGCCCCCGATTCTTCCCCTCTCTTGTGCAAGAGGCCAAGGCTCTCAACAGACCTCATCTGAGCTAGGCGTTAGAGACAGACTTGCAAACAGAGACATTATCCCAGATGCACAGGTCATCCTACCATGAGGGCACAGCTCAAGAAGGGATATCGGCGAAGGGTGGGGGAGCAGCTAGGCTATTGGAGAGAGCACAGAGAAATAGGCTAGTCCAGAGTGGGACCGGAGAAGACCTTCTGAGAGAGGTGGTGTCCCAGCTGACAGTTAGCAGTGATGGGGACTTGAGCATGTGTATGGAGAGGATTTAGAGGGTTTCAGAATGAGAGACTCTGTATCTGAAGGCACAAACAAGTAAGAGCTGGGCTCAGCAGTCAAACACGCGGGCTCTGAGGTAATTTGTGTTCTCACTGGCTGTGTGATTCTAGGCAAATGACCCCCTCTCTGTGACTCCATTTACAAAATATTCTGTAGCTAAGAATATCAGATGCTGTCAGAGGACCGTGCCGAGGAACAAATGCTTTCAATAAAGGTCCGGTGCACAGCTTAGAGGCTGGAATGCAGCAGATGTCACCACAGGGCTCTTTGACAGGTATAGAGAAAGGGAGATGGCCAGAGAGGGGTCAACAGCAGTGGGAGGTACCAGAGAAGAAGGTTCTTAGATGATGACTTGCTTGATGGGATTCAGTCTGTCGGAACCCTCCAAGGGTGGCTGTGCAGAGAATGAGTGGGGGGCAGAGTTGAAACAGAGGTGATATACGTATGCTTTGAGGGGTGGTGGTTAGGATGAGGCAGGAGCAGATGCTGGGTGGAGGAGGGGCTCACCTGGGCCCCGCCCACACAGCTATCTTGGTGCAGTGGACATGGAACTGTCCATCATACCCTTTGTGCTTGGTCCTCCAGGCACTCCCAAGAAGAAAACCCTTGTGAACGCAGCACATCCTTCTGTCCTCCCTGTGAAGTGTGCAGGCATATACAGATACACATGCTCACAGAGTGTTTGTTTTATAAAGATGGGATTGAGTGAATGTTGCACACTTATCTCCAAATTGCTTTTCACATTCCACAATACCTTGTGGAAATCTCCTGAAGCTACGGGAAGAGGGTTAATTAAACTCTGCAGGCTGCTGGTATTCCACTCGTGGCTGCCCCACCACCTGCCTTTCTTGCCTTGCTCGGTCCCCTTCCAATGTCGCCTCAGTCCCCCCTAGAACCCAACTTCTCCCATACCCCTGGGAATTCAGCCTCTTTACGCAGCCTGACTCTCATGGTCGACTTCCAGCCTATTCATTCACAGGTCTGTCTGTGGGGCTTCACGGGACACCATGAAGGTAGGGCTTGGTCTTAGAATAAGGGGCTCCAGGAAGGCTTGTGGCGGTGCTTGATGTTAGCAACTTGGGCTGGCTGGGGACCTGAGATCTGTGTGGATGAGTGTATGGGGTAGAGACCCTGTGCCCAGAGCCTTTTCCAATCTTTTGTGTGGTGGCTACATATGTGTGTATGTACGTGTGCATGTACATGGAGGTCAGAGGACAACCCCTCATGTAGTTCCTTGGGCATGGCTAACCTTTTCAGTTTCTTCGTCTGGGCTTTTCCAGTGCTGAGATTATAGGCTTGTAACACTATGCCACGCCTTTTACTTTTTATTGTTCCTGTGGGTTCTGGATGATTCAGGGTATCTAGGTACTTCAGGTCCTCACACTCACAAAGCAAGCTCTTCGCCTAGCTCTGCCTCATTCCTCTTGGTCACAGGTCCTACCCCTGGGCTTCTCCTTTTCCACTAGAGTCCCCTTCTGACCTTAGCCATTCAGGATCAGTATTGTCCTGCCCCTATTGCGGGGCCATCCATCCTCCTTTCTCCCCCTCCTGAAGACTCTGGAGCCTGGAGGCTCCACAGCTGGGTCCTTCCGGAAGCAGCTAGGGAGAACCAAAGGCACTAGCCACAGCAGTGGTTTCCAGTTTCCCTGGGGCCAACTCACTGCTCTGTGCAGTGCAGTATCTTTTTCTGTGGCCACTGGAAATGCTTCTGTGCTTTGTTTTCTGGGATGGACCCCATACACACACACACACACACACACACACACACACACACACACACACACACACACACACACACACACCACCCTCAATCTGTGCTTCCACTTCAGAGATGGCAGTCCTGAGATACACAGTGTGGCCTTGCTGGGACCCCAGGTTACCAGAGGCCACTCCTAAGGTCCTCCTAGAACTGCTTTTTTAGGGTCCCCTGTGCACCTCGAGATCAGAGATCTCAGTGCCCACCAGCTACAGATGATAGTGCCCAGTGAGTCCAGTAGCAAGTGGTAGATGGGGCCACTCATCATTCTGTCGGCTTTGTTTTACTTTCAGGGTGATCTGGCTTTTATGGGGTGGGGGGATAGTGAGTTTCTAACATGACTGGGAAATAGTTCCCTTGTCAGAGAACCTACTAAGTGTAGATGAGGGGAGAAAGTGTCCTCGCAGGCTGTCATGGAGCCAGGGTGGGTGAAGAGGCTACTGGCTGCAAGCCTGCCAGACCACAGCTGTGGACTAGATCCACGCTCCTTCCCCGCAGCCTCCACATACCATTTTTTTTTTTAAAAGCTGTCGAATTGTGAAACATTTCCATACATATCTGAATTCTTTGGATCCTTAAAAAAAAAGTTGAGAATTCAGTAAGGTTGCAGGAGTCACAGACTACATGAGGCTGGCTCCCTAGGTGGGAGTAGTGTCCCCCCCCCCCATCACAGGAGCTACACTGGTTACAGGCCGTCTCTTGTCACAGTGACACACTGGAGGTTAGTTCTGGGGGGGTGGGATATCTTCTCAGGGATGAGGCCTCAGGCAGGGAGGCCCTCTGAAACTCAGACTAGCCCTGGACCTCCCCAGAGAAGACTACAGCCCAGGCACCTGGCATCAGGTGCCACACAGAGGCATCTGACTAGATGCCTGCATTTCAGTGGTAACAATGCAGGGGTTGTTTGAGGTGCCCTGTCCCTCTGGTCCGCTTTCTGGGTCTTACAACGATATATTCCTCCCCATCCCCCTATCCAGGACTGTGGGTGGATGGTGGACGCTTTCTGCTGCCCGACCTTCTAGGGGCGGCAGGGGGCGCTCCTGGCCCATGAGAACTCAACTCCAGCCACAGGACAAAAGCAGGGGTACCGTGAAACTTCTTGGGCTCCAAACTGGGGTACACAGCCAGCTCGGCACTGGCCCCTGGTTCCTGCTGTGGTGTTACTTTGGTCCTTTTTTTCTTTGTCCTGCCTCACTAGTGGCTTTGACTATACGCACCTCCCCTCCCCCTCTGCCTTGGCGCGCTATCCGCTGTCTTTATGTTTCTCCTTCCTCTCTGCCTCTGGATCATCCCGCTGCCTAGCTCGTTCTATACAAAAGGAGTCTGTCTGTCCAGGGGCCCAGGGTCAGGAGATGGGCTCGAATTGAGTAGCCAGCTTGAGTCTACAGGCACCAATGAGTTTGAGGCATGCTGGGACCTCGATCTCTGCGCAAGAGGCCTTCAAACTGTAAGAATTTTTGGAGGGGAGGACCCAACCCAGAGCCCCTCACGTCCCAGGCAAGTGCTCTCTGTTGTGCCGTATACTTGACCCCAAGTCACATTGAAAATTTTTTCTATTTATTTATTCACTCAACACGTATGTACACATATGCAGACATATGTGGAGGTCAGAGGACGACTTGCAGGAGGTGGTTCTCTCCTTCCATCATGTGGGTTCTGGGAACTGAACCCAGGTACCAAACTTGGTGGCAAGCACCTTTACTCACTAAGCCATATCAGTAGCCCTTAAATTACATTTAGAAGTTATTTATTTGTCGTTATTACACGTGCATGTATAATGTGAGTGTGGGTGTGCAGTGCACATGTGGAATATGGAGGTCAGAGGAAAGAAAATTTACGAAGTCAGATTTTCTTCTTCCACCATTACAAGGATCCAGGGATCAAATTCAGGTCACCAGGCTTGTACAGCAAATGCCTTGGTCCTCTGCGCCATGTCACTGTCCCCCAGATTACATTTTTATACCATGGCATCGCTGGAGCCCTGCACACATGCCCCTTTCCACCCACGGCGGACTCTAAGTGACACCCACCTCGGACCTGTTGGCCAGAGCAAGACCAAGCACCAGACTGCTGCAAGGGTTCCCCAAGGCTTCCCAGCGAGGAAGTGGGGCTTTCCAGGCTCTGAACCGAGGTCAGAGATAACGAACCTTCCAACTGGTTTTCAGAGGAGACCACACAGCCGGAGGCAGCCCACTCCAGGTGCTAGCTCCCAGCCCTAGCCCTCCGGAAAGTCGCAGTTACCCTCCGTCCCCGGGCGGCCTGGCAGCTGAGACGGCACATATGGCTGCTCAGTGAAGCTGTGCCCCTGTGTCACCGCTGACGGAGGGACAGATCCCCAACCTCAGAGGAGGGTCTCCCCAGGCCCCTTGTCCCCGACAAGGCTCCCTGCCGGCAACACTAGCAAGCGCAGCAGCCCTGCGGGGCGGCTGCCGTCCAGCTGGCTTGGCTGCTGACTGCAGAAGGAATGCTTCGCTTTTGTTCTCGGATCGCCAGCTGCTGCTTGCACAAGTGCAGCCGCCACCCGGCTGCTGAGGCTGGGCAGCCCGTGGCAGGTTTCCTCACCTCTCTGGGCCCAGTTCTTCCATCTGAGACCCAAGGGTAGGGTCTGGCTGGACCAGCTCTGAGATGAGCTTGTGGCCTTGACACTTGATGTCAGCCACAGTTTCTCCGGTGCCCTTGGGAGGAAAAAAAAAAAGAAGAAGAAGGAAAGAAAAGCAAAAAAAATCTTTTTACAACCGAAAGAATGAAATTAGCATCCTTTGGCAATTAATGCATTTTTTTTCCCCAAGACTCAACTCTTAAAGTTCTGAGTGTTTGACTTTGATTTTAAATCGGTGGCTGTCAGGAGGAATTACAAGGCTCCCAAAGAAACACACAGACATTATAATTAAAGAGATGCCAATCTTGACAGGTAGTCGGAGAGGAGAGGGGACACAGTGATGAGAATGGAGAGGGGAGAAGGATGCTCTGAGCCCAGCGGGACAGGCCTGGCAGGAGAGGTGGCCCAGTCACAACAGGACCACACGCTACAAAGCCTTAGACTCTGCAAGGCCCCTGCACCACAGCCGCTTCACACCACAGCTCTGCAGAGGCAGTCTTTATTACCTGCATCACAGAGTGGTGATCAAAATTGCCCTGATTTTGGCCACAAATTCATACATAATGCAACAAACGCTCCCCACCCCACACTCTAGCCTGAAGTAAGCCCCCAAAGACACCTGAGCTCCATCCCCAGCCCAGCCTAAGCCCTGCTCCCAATCACTGTCCAATCCAGGCTGAGACTAGCTCCTGACCTACTCTAAGTCCCATCCCCTAAGCCTGAGGAGGCCCCCCTCTGACCTAAGCTAACCTGCTCCCCAACCAAGACAAGCCTCAGACTGACCCTGACCTTGGGCCAGGCTATCCCAGCTAAACCAAAGCCAAGCCCATCACATTGGACCCAAGATGGATGGCTGTGTGACCAGAGCAAACCTCTCCTCCAGCAGGCTCAGAGCTGGACCAGCAGCTGGTGAAGGAAGGCCTGGGAGTGGCTGGAGGGATAAAGAGACCAGGGAGTGTGGGCACTCAGAAGAGTGGAGGTATTACCCTTCAGGGGCACGGTCCACATTAGGGGACAGGGGCTAGGCGCTCTTTGCCACTGCCTGGGTGATCTGTGACCTGCTTGGGGTGGGCAGCTGGGCTAGACTCCCTTCACCAGCAGCTCACAGATACTACGGACTGCCTCAGCTATAGGCTGAGGTCCTGCTGCGATGAAGGCCTCAGGGGAGGTGAGGGTCCTCCTCTTCCCCCCCGGGCTGCCATCTTCCCCCTACCCACCCCAGCTTCCCCTCTGATAGGCACCTCATTAGCAGAGTATCTGTAAATAACACCAAAGAGTTAGAGTTACAACAAGGTAGCTCATTAAAGCCACTTCGCTGTCTCACTTCCCAATTAGTGTTTCTGCAAGCAGCTGCCAAAGCTGCCTGTGACAGGGCACCTTGGCATGGCATGGGCCTTTCAGAGGGATCATCGGGGAGGCTGCGGACTGTAGAGGCAACCCTTCGACACCCTCCAGTCAGCACCCTGGGTGGCCATCTGCCAACACCAGGAAGCTTGGGCACGAGTGCCCACCATGGGGAAGGCCAGTGGCTCAAGCACTCTGTGAAGGCAGCCTAGATGTGGGCTCTGCTGAGAGTTCATCCCTCCACTGACCTGCATACTGGCCTGCTCCTGTGGTGTTCATGGCTCTGGAATTCCACCCCAGGTCATGCGGTCCAAACCCACTTGTGGTTGGAGAGGTGGTTCAGTGGTTAGGAGTACTTACTACTTTTCTAGAGGACCTAGGTTTGGTTCCCAGCACCCACATGGCAGCTCACAACCATCTGTAACTCCAGTTGCAGGGGACCTGGCACTCTCTTCTGGCCTCTGTGGGCACCAGGCATGCATGCAGTATACATACATACATACATGCAGGCAAGGCATTCATACACATAAAAATGAACTTAAAAATCTTTTTAAAACCCTCACCTGTTTTGCATCCCTCCTTGAAGTCTTCCTCTTCTTTATGGGCCTAAGGTCTTCCCCTGCAGCTTCTGGGGAAACTCTCTTCCCAGTGGGTGCCGAAGGCATCCATGACAGAACTGGAGGAAATTTAAGTACAGAGAGGAGAAAAAGAACATTCTAGAGAGGCTGGGAGACACAGGAGTGGTGTCCCCAGGACAAACAAACTGGATTGCAATTGTTCTCTGTTTGCTCACACACTTGGGGTTAAGTCGAGAAGGCTTTGATCCCTTGGTCCACGTCCCACAGCTGGGAGGCACCACTGCGCAGACCAGGGCTGAGCCCCCTCCAAAGCCTGTCCTTGGAGTCGGGCTGAAATGACACAGGGGCTCGCCTGTGCCTGCAAGATGAGGATGAAGAGAGCCTCCAGTCCACTCTACCCTCTGCACAGTCCAACCCCGCTTCTGTCTTTCTCCAACTTGCTTTCGATCCCTGCTCTGCTTGTCCCGGTTTTCTTTTCTGCCTCAATTTGGGAGGGAAACATCTCCCAATTTCTCTCCCTCTTTCTGAATCGATAGCTTAGCTGGGCAAGGCAGAAAATGAAATTTACACTCAATGGTTTCCATGGCAACCAGGGTGCTGGGCCGCTTTCTCCTGCTCTTGGGGGCATGTTCTTCCTGGGAGAAAGCAGGTATCAGAAGTCCACAGCTTGAGAATGGGGTGGGGTTTAAACAGAACTGAGATCAAGCTGCCCCCCCACTGCTCTTCTGGCCCTGAGCATGAGGGAGGGGTGCCCTTCTTCCCCACCAGTTCAGGAGAGCCAGCTTCGGGTGCCATTATCCTCAGTTGTCCAGAGCGATGCCTACTCCACCTCTGGGTGCAGGTAGGCATTGTGCTAGGTGCTGGAGGCTTTTTTTTTCTTTACTTCAACGTTAAGAGGAAGGTGTTATTGCTGTCCCATGGGAAAAGCGAGTCCTGGGAATATTGTTAACCTTGCACCATGACTCAGAGTCAACACACGGCAGGAGGAAGCCTGGACTGGGACCTGTGGTTATAATGGGAGCGTAAGATTCCAAGCTGGTAGGGGACCCAGAGGCACACAGACTCACTTCCTGCCTCTCCAGTTCTGTGGATTAGATGAAGCTGAAAGCCCATGTCTGCAGCCCCCTGCAGTCTGGGTGTGTCTCATCTGAGCCTCACTTTCTTAGCACTGATTTGAGGGGTGGACCAGGTCTACCACTCAGGGGCAAAGCCCTCAAGCCCTGGGGTGGAGTGTGGTGTGCATCAGGACTCAGTGTTGGTGGCTGTCCCACTGGCCACTAGGCTAGGAGGTGGCCAGTAGGAGCAAGCCACCTACTTACACTGGTATGTATAGTAGGTGCTCTAAGAGGTACCCTGATGTGTATGGTAGGTGCTCTAAGAGGTACCAGGTATGGGAGCCCAGAGGAGGCCACTGTAAAGTCCGGGGTCAGGGAAGCTTCCTGGAGGAGGTGTGGACCAGACAGGACAGAAGGCACTTGAGGCAGAGATTAATGGGGGGAAGGAGTGAGTTTTGGACATCTGTGCAGAGGAGTGTGGGGTGGGCTGAGGTTCAGGCATGCTGAATGGCACGTGTCATCTCTGCCCACGTAGTATCCATTCTGCTTCCTTCCAGAACCCACACTTCTCAAACTGTCCTCAAATGGTTCTTCATGGGTTGGCACTACCTGCTAAGTCTGTGAATGGGCACACAAATCAGTCTCAGCCATTGAGAGATCCACACTGCTCCAGCTGTTGTGATTGGTTGGGAAATGGACACAGGCCCGTTGGTCAATAGCTCTTGTCCTATATGAGCTACCTGGACCCCTTTGGCAGGAGTAGAAGAGCTGGGAGAGCCAAGCCTGAAGCTTGAGTGTGCCTTCCTGGGAATAAAGCCCTTCTGAGAATGCAGCCATTGCAGAGGAACAAGTGGCAATGATGGGTGGCCCTGGAGGTGCTCCTGGATCCACTCGGAAGCCCAAGGTTTTCCTGGCACGATATGTCGCCTTAGTTCCATTTCTGTGCATGTGAACCAGGATTATACCTTTTGCATTGGGAAGAGGCCTCATTAGAGAGGAGTGCAGAGAGGGTAGCAGACACCAGGCCACAGGACCTATAGCCTCAGTGAGAGGCAACAGATGGGTGGAACCCTTGCTTAGAGGCAGTGTGAACATAGCCAGTCTGGGCTTTGGGGGGGAGGTCCTAGGGCAGCAGAGGAAGGAGATCTGCCGTGGGAGACTGGAGTTTGGTGGGTGAATGTGGGTAGGTAGATTTGGCTTCAGGCCAGTAGTGTTAGCTTCAGATAGCTGCTGTGACAGATCACTTCAAACCGATAGCTTCAAATAATACACTTAATCTCCAAAGTTCTGGAGGCCAGGGCTGAAGTGGGCCCAAAGACCCAAATCAAGCTGTCAACTGAGGGACTTCCTGTGCAGAAGCCCCAGTGGTGTCCCTCACCTTGGTCAGTGTCCATAGGCCACCCGCTCCTGGTCTTGGAACACTATCACCCTCTTCGAGGCTGTGGCTCCAACCTTGGCTTCTGTCTTTGGATCTTTCCTCTCTGATTCTGGTCTCTGAGAAGCACCTTACAATGGCCTTGGTCACGTGGAAAGACCAGGACGGCCCGCTCGGCTCAAGATCTCAAGCCTAGTCACACCTGCAAAGCTTTCTTGCTGCTTAAACTGGCAAGTGCCCAGGTCCAGGGATTAGGATGTGGACATCTTTGGTGGCCATTATGCTACTGACCATATGGGAAGTGGGGCTGGAGGGCAGCAGTGGACGGGAGATACAGGGAGGGGCTGAGGGCCTGAGTATAGAGGATTTTTGTTTGTTTGTTTTGTTTTTTGGTATTTCGGGACAGGGTTTCTCTGTGTAGCCTGGCTGTCCTGGAACTCACTCTGTAGACCTGGCTGGCCTCAAACTCCGAGTGCTGGGATTAAAGGTGTGCCCCACTACTCCTGGCTTGCATAGAGGGTTCTATCCTTTGTAGATGGGGCACCGATTCAAAGCCCCGTCTTATGATCCCCTGGGGGAGTAGCTCCCAGAGGCCACTTTGATGAAGCCCTTGCTGAATCCTACCTTGCACATTCCTGTCTCTTCTACTGTGTCTCCTGGGATCATCCTGGTGACCCTCAAACTAAACCCTGGCCTTGGGTGGCATTGAGAGAGAGCCTGCTTTGCTGTGATTAAAGTGAGAGATCCAGAATGGATGAGACAACCCAGACACCGCCCCTGACAGTCCCATGGCAGTCCTCTGGCCTCTCTGTCCAGCGCAGCTTCCTGACAAACACCAGGGACAGTCCTTGTGGGGCAGGCCTTGTGGCTTGGCTGACTCCTCTGCTGGGATGGCCAGTCACTTCATTAGTGTCCTCCCCACTGGACAGCTGAGGCACACAGGCAGTGAGAGCAAAAGAACTCCCCTGAGGACACACAGTGGCGCAGGATAAAGAAGAAAATTTAATAGAAGCAAATCGCGGCTGGGCTTAAAACGGGCGCGTTTAACCAACTGGGGTCACGGCCATGCCGATCTCTACTGTCACCATGACAATGTGCCGTCTTTGTGGGTTTCAAGGATGTAACTTCCATCTGGGTGGTAATTTTCCTTCTAAGCCCACTCCATGTGGACTGTCTACAAGCTCTCACTTTCTCCCCTTCCCTAGCTATCACAATCAGCGTCTGGATGAATATCTGTATGACATTTAAAAGGCTAATGTCTATTTGACAGTCTTCAAAAGGCACTACTGAGGAATAAGACAATTGTGACCATTGCTCGCCTGGTCTTCCTCATATGCCAGGGCTGGGAGTTAGAGCAGGGCATCCTCTAGCACGTGGGCTCCTGGGCTGTGGTGAAAGGTCCTATGGTGGACAGCGGGCTTGAGCACCAAAGAGGATGACATAAAACAGCTAGGTGAGGACTAGACCTGGTCTTGGTATTCAAGTTCTTTCTGCAATAGAGATGCTATGTCCCAGTGAAGAAGGATCTAGACACCTCCAGTGGCTCTGTGTGACTCAGATGCCAAAGTTACTGAGTGATTCACATGGCTTTCCTGAGGGGCTGCCATATGTGGCTCCTGACTTCCCACATCTGCAGATGTCCCTAGGCACACCGGTCATGGCTGGTGGTATGGTTAGCAGGCTCATTGCAGAGGCTACTGCTTCTCACCCTAGCTAGTTGACTCATGTGTTGCAACACTTTAGAACAACTCCGAGATAGAATTTCTAATGTGAAATCCCATTAACAAAGGTCTTCGTCCACTTTCTGTGGCTATAACAGGGTGCTGTGGAGTGCGCAGTTAATGGAGAACAGATATTGACTGCCGTGGTAATTGGAATGAGACTGTCCCCCATAGGCTCTGATATTTGAATACTTGGTCCCAGTTGGTGGCGATGTTTGAATAGGCTTAGGAGGTGTGGCCATGCTGGAGGAGTATGAGGTTTCAAAAGCTACCCATCACTTCCAGTCTCTCTTTTTGCTTCCTGCTTGTGGTTTAAAATGTGAGCTCCCAGCTTCCAGCTCCAGCCACCATGCCCGCTGCTTGTTCCTCAAATCCCCTCTACAGTGGCTCTTCTCCCTCTGGAACTGCAAGCCAGATGACCCTTCATTCTATAAGTTGCCTTTGTCATGGTGTTTTATCACAACCATAGCAGAGTAACTAAGACAGAAGTTTGTACCAGGGAGTCGAGGAATGGGTTATTGCTGTTATTGCTGTGATAGGCCTACCAATATATATATATTTTGAGAAATGTGGGTAGGAACTTTTCACTAGAAAAATTGTCAATGCTGTAAGTAGAACTTAATAGACCATCTTAATGAGAGCTTGGGAGACCGCGGCTGAAAGTCAGGAAGACTCAGCTCCAGAGGCTTCAGAGGGGAGTGATATTATCAACTGAGCTAGAGACAGTTATTATATTTTCACAAAATTGAGGCTGCTTCCCGCCATGTCCTAAAAGCTTTCCCGTGGCCAAATTTAAAAGTAATGGACTAATTTCTTTGGTAGAGGAGATTTCAAGACAGCCTGGTATTGACTCTGTCATGTGGCTATTAGTAATCATTCTTATTCAGGTCTATAATGAAAAATAACAAGTCGGACAAAAAGAAATACAAAACGTACAGTCTGAAGAGAAAATGAGAACCAGACGGTTTAATGCTGCAGCTGAAAGAAATAAAGAGATTAAAGTGAGGCCTAATCTGCCCTGGGAACAAGGGGAGGGTACCCTCTTGGGGAGACCCCACCCAGCTAAGCTTCAGACTTGTGAAAGAGCAGAAGTTGTTTCCTGTTCTTAGACAGGAACAGCAGACAAAAGCTGTTGAGAATGTGACTCAGGAGGGGAAGGATGCATCATCCAAAGCTGGCAGTATTGCCCGCACGGTGTGGTTAGAATCCTGAAGAATATGTGAGTATAGGAGCTGCGGAATTTTCCCTCAAGGTCTCAGAGAGGTGCTGAGACCAGGTGATATGTGCGGGTCAGTCCCTCCATGGAGACCCTGAGAGGTCTTTGGTGAGACTGTGGAAGTCAGGCCTAGCTTGTTGTGAAGACCCCAAGA